GACTGTTTTCGACCGAGGTGTTTACGACGCTACGTCATTTCGTGGAACCGGCGCTCGGCTTCGACCGAGTTGTTTTTCGGCGCTCGGCAAAAAAAGGTCACGCCGTACGCCGGATCATTCACGCGGCGACAGTCGAACGAGTCTGTTGTGCCCGCGCAGTTTCGCATATCGAGATCGTATTATTCTTCCTTGATACGCGTTCGCGACAAGTACGGGAAGAAATCGCGATCGCTCTCTGCAAATAATTGGTGATCGATTGGTGTCGAGTGATCGCTGAATTCCGATGCTTGTATTCGGATACATCTCGTATCATCTCAGTGAGAGAAAGTGTGTAATCTTGAAAGTTTTCTTTCATTAACGGAATCATGGCATCACAAATGCTGGTCAGAATGCAGAACTTTGAGTCGAATTTCATTGCAGTACGTTTAATTGAAGACTTAAATATCAATTAATCCTATCCGTGCTTAATTATATTTTGTAACATTTACTCATCGATAGTTTAAATTAATACATCGGCGATTTCTGTTGATTAAAATTCGTACCATTGGATAAATTTACATGGATTACCGAGTGCTAACAGTAACTTCGTGCAATCGTATATTTTTCGTGTTTCCTTTCCTGTCGCGAGTGATTAATATTGAGGTGTTATACAAAGTGCCACGAAGTCTCGATCATCCCACGAGGTTTGGACAATCACGCCACGAAACGTAAGTACACATTTCATATGAGATTGATTACGAGAAATTAAATATGAATGATTCCTTTTAACATTTGGTAGAAAATTCGGTAATACTGAAGGATATTATTATATACTGTTTAAATTTTTTTCCACAATCATTTAAGGAGTGAGTGGAATTGGTAATTGTTCAGAATAGCTACATCATCTCCAAAATCAATCAAATTAGTCTCATTCGACGCGTTTTTTAACGAGAAACAACTTTTTCCTTAGACAAAATCGTCGATCTGCCCTGCGAAGCGAGATATTAATTGTTAAAGTTGACAACTTTTAGGGTTAGGAAATCTGTCATACCGACAAAATCAGACTAAATGCACATCATATGCAGTGACGTATTTCCACGTGAAGCGAGATCCACTCCACACCTCTGACATAGGGTGGGTAGGGTTATTTTTAACGAAGTGGAGCCCCCCCGAAGGGGGGCGGAACATACTGTCTTCACGCATACATTTTTCCATCTACATTTGGTGGAGAGGAGTGACTTACATGAGGGTAGAAAAATTAGAAATTTGCACATGGCTTCCTCATGGAGGAAGTTTTATGAGCGAAATCTAATTTTTTTCGATGTTTCTTGAAAGTGTGCAAATTAGAAATTTGCACATTGCTTCTTCAGCATTGAAGCGTGCAAATTGGAAATTTACACATTTCTTCCTCATCATTAAAGTAGGCAAATTAGAAATTTGCACATTGCTTCCATTGTTATGGCTTCCTCATAGAGGAAGCTTTAAGAGAGAAATCAAACTTTACTACGATGTTTCTTGAAAGTATTCAAATTAGAAATTTGCATATTCTTATTTCGCTCTTAAAGCTTCCTCTATGAGAAAGCCATGTGCAAATTTCTAATTTGCACACTTTACTTTACTTTACTTTTTTTCTAATTAGAAATTTGCACATTGCTTCCATTGTTATGGCTTCCTCATAGAGGAAGCTTTAAGAGCGAAATAAGAATATGCAAATTT